CATTATGATTTTTTATGTTTTTAAGGATCATTCTTTTGTATAATTTGCTTTCTTGATGACTTTACTACGTTTGATGTTACATTCCCATATAGAGAGTGAAACTTTTGATTTCACAGTTTAACTCCACATTTCTAGCTATTTATTTTTGACTTCTAAAGGAGCTAAACTAAATTAATATTTCTAATTTTTTTTTTTTTCCAATTGGGAAATGTGATGAATACCCCAACTTTCAGAGCAATAAATGAAATTGGGTCTGGACTCTAATTTTCAGAGCAATTATAAGGAAGAATATATTCCTTGAAATTAAGAGTCATACCTTCTCTCATGCTACTTGTTTATCTTTAGACCTCATAATGTTTCTCATTTTTAGACCAGTATTGTTAGTATAAACTGTACACTTGGTATTTTAATTCTGGCTCTTCTACTATTGGTTATATTTTGAAGAACTTGCTAAATCTAACAAGAAGAAAAAATTAATTGGTAAATTTAAAAGAATAAACTTGTTTTTTTTCCCCCCCAGAGGACACATGTACTCACTGGAGAGAGAGAGAGAGAGAGAGAGAAAGCATCCCCCTGTGGGGGATGGTCGTGTTGCTATCCCTTTCCCTCCATTTCTCTGTTCACTCACCCGGCATGTTTTTCAAGTTTCTGGATCTAGTCCTCTGCTGTGTGGGTGGCCATGTGGGTTCTATCCACCTTAACCACCATACCACTGAGTGGCCCCCAAATATTTTTTAATGTGGAATCAAAAGGATTTTCATGTTTTAGTTTATTAAGCATCATAATTTAATGATATAGAAGCAAAATTGTGTTTTCAGTTTGTATAATATATTAGAAATATAGTTAACATCAAGAGGAAAGGATGAATCAGAGATTAATTGCTTTTTCAGTGTTTGGTTTATTTCTCATCTATTAAATGGGAATAACAAATTAAAGAACTTATGATATGAGAATTAAATAAGATAATATGTTCTCTTTCTTACCCCTTCTCACCATTCTCAGTTTAATCAAATGTATTGACTCATGAGAGAGAGAGAGAGAAAGCATCCCCCTGTGGGGGATGGTCGTGTTGCTATCCCTTTCCCTCCATTTCTCTGTTCACTCACCCGGCATGTTTTTCAAGTTTCTGGATCTAGTCCTCTGCTGTGTGGGTGGCCATGTGGGTTCTATCCACCTTAACCACCATACCACTGAGTGGCCCCCAAATATTTTTTAATGTGGAATCAAAAGGATTTTCATGTTTTAGTTTATTAAGCATCATAATTTAATGATATAGAAGCAAAATTGTGTTTTCAGTTTGTATAATATATTAGAAATATAGTTAACATCAAGAGGAAAGGATGAATCAGAGATTAATTGCTTTTTCAGTGTTTGGTTTATTTCTCATCTATTAAATGGGAATAACAAATTAAAGAACTTATGATATGAGAATTAAATAAGATAATATGTTCTCTTTCTTACCCCTTCTCACCATTCTCAGTTTAATCAAATGTATTGACTCATTCTTTGCCTTGTGGCAGATAGTGCTTACTGATACAGTAACTTTGGCAAGACTTTAAGGTAGCAGTCACTCCAATTTTGCAATACTTTTGCTTTTATAAGAAACTCCTGGAGTTACTGCCTTTTCTTAAGGTAAAGAAACTCTGATGTGTTACAGGCCAGTGTCACTGGCTTACATCACACATGTAAGTAAGTGGGTGTTTCACTTATCTTGACAAGTTTTCAAGTGACATTGTTTTCTTTGGTAATAGTCAAAGCCAGAAGTTGCTGACAGCTTGGTGTTTCCTCTGTTTTACAGATTTGCATATCTGATGATATGTACATTACAGAACGATCATGTGTAATTTTATCCTTTCTTTCCATCTCTTATCTTCCACTCCTTAGGAAAATAAGCATGATAGGAGTAAACACAACCAGAAGCCCTCACTTTCAATAAACATGCTTTGTTTGTGTGTGTTGGGATGTTGGAGCTGCAAGTCTCTAGGATACCATAAACATTTTCTATGGCAAGAGACTCACAGTGCCTTTGGGAAAGTCAGTCTGGGTAGTCTGCAGCAGCATCTTTCTTAGAGAATAATAATTCTCAGTGGTGATGGTGAGTGTTAGATGGCAAGACAGAGGAATCTCCTGGGGACAAGTACCATGTCTCTCGTTAACTTTCTTTTAATTTTATTATGAAAAAATTCAAAATATATAGAAAAGTTGAAAGAGTAATACAAGATAACTAGCTAAAGAATCAATATTATGAAGCAAAAGAATGAGGGGACAGTTATTCTAGCTTTGTTCTCTTTTTTAATTTATAAGCCAAAGGGCATATGTGCTCACTTGAGACAGAGAGGCAGAAGGGAAGGGAGAAAGCATCCCAGTGGGGCGTGGTCATGCTGCAATTCCTTCTCCATTTTCTATCCTGTCTGGATTCAAGGCATGTATGCTCGTGCACCTCGTGTGTTTTTCAAGCCATCAGGGCAAGCATTGAAACAGCGTGGCCGGCCATGTGAAATCCGACTGCCTCAACTACTGGGCCATGGGGTTGGCCCCGTTCTAGATTTTAAAAGACTGTCATAAAACTTGGTTGAATTCTTGCTTGAAATTACATATGTGTGTATATTATATGTGTGTATATATATTCATTGTATACATTGTATTCTATAGTGAATATACATAATAGAATATATTCTATATAGAGAACATAAATGTATTTCAACTTTTCAACTTGATTTTTAAAGAATATTATATAGAAAATATATAGTATATATAGAATGTACATTGAATATATAGTCTACAAATGTTTATCATGAATATATAGTTTCAAACTAGAATTTAATCAAGTTATGCATCATATTTGATTCTATGTATATATAGTGAATATATAATGAATATATATCTGTGTATACACATTATATATAAATAACCATTTTTTTTCTTATTGGTAAGCTATTTGTAAGTATGCTGTTTGAGATATTATGTCACTTTACTTATTAATCCTTAATGGGCAAACTCATATACATCCTAAAAATGCATGTATTATTCTCTATCACTATAGTATCTCTGTCTCACCTAAGAAGTGAATAATTTAGATATACAGTTCTTATTCAGAATGACCCACATGGTGCAAAAATATATAATGGAAATATGGTAAATGTACTACTCTATACTCTATACTCAGTTTTCAATGAGAAGAAATAAGATTCTTGATCAATTTGGAACAGTGATGGTTCATCCCCTGGAACTGGAGGAGGGACCTACCCATCTGATCCCATTAATGTCTTAGATTAAACAAGTTTTTTCATCACAAGAGGTGGAGAGTCTGAAGGGTAGAGAATCACTAGTATACTGAGACCTGTTCGGCATAAAGTGGGGAGGAGATCCCCCCTGCCCCCAGTGGGAACGGTAGTGGATTTTGGAAAGAACAATTACACAGACACAGAGACACAAGTAGAAAAAAGCGGGGATCGGGTGGATTGGACGTCACTGATGGAGAACACTGTGACCCTGAGCTTTTCCCAGGTTTATTCTTTATTTTTAAAAAAGAATTATTTTATTTAACTTTATTTATTTATTTATTTTATTTTATTTTGACCAGAGAGGGACAGAGCAAAGGGGGGGGGGGGGGGGAGAGAAAGTGAGAAAGAAATTGCCAGGTCCAGAATTCAAACCATGGTTGGTCATGTTAACCTTAACCACACGCCACCTGCCAGCCTCCTAGGTTTATTCTTTTATAGGGCAGTGGGGGAAGGGAGAAGCAGAAGGTAAAGCTAGGTTTCTTCTATTATCAACTGCAGCTATGGAGCACCTTATGTCCCTTGGTCTAAATAACCCCCACCTGGCCTTCTCTTGTTGTAATATGGTTTTCTTTTAACCTCCGCTGGCTGTGCAGCATTGGCTCAAGCGAGAGAGCCTGTACTCTGCTCATCTTTAAAGGTCACTATTATTTAGCTCAGATTTGGCTGCTCCCTACACTAGTGTGTGCCAAACTATAGTAATGTAGTTATGCTGTGACATTTTCCATATATGATAGTTTTTTGGTATCCATGGGGAATTTGTTCCAGGATATACCTGCCCCCCACCCCCCCAACTCCTGCAAATACCCAAACCTATGGATGCCCCAGTCCCTTGTATAAAATGCCATAGTATTTGCACACACATCTTCCTGTACACTTTAAGTGATCTCTTGGTTTTTGTAATACAATGTAAATATTATGTAAATAGTCGTCATACTGTATTGCATAGGGAATAACAAGAAAAAAAGTCTGTACATAGTGCAGACACAACCATCGCAGGCCTAATTATCAGGTCATTGGGAAAGTCAAGACATAGTTTTCTATGCAAAAATGCATCATGACTTTCCCAACAACCAGATACACGGTATGCATAAGCAACAATGGGACATTTTTCCACCCATAGTTGGTTGACTCTGCAGATTCAGGACCTGTGGATATGGAGTGTTGACTACTACATGAGAATTACTCCTGTGCAAAGAGTGAAATTTCAGTATTTTAGCTTCTTTTTTGGGGGAGAGGTTTTTGCTATAGGTCGTGTGTGCTCGCCAGAAAGATAGAGAGAGACAAAGAGACAGGAAGCAAGAAATCACCCCCCAAGGGGGATGGCCATCCTGCAATCCCTTCTCCTCCATTCTCCTCTTGGGATCTTGGGCATGCACGCACACGTGCCCAGCGTGAGTTTAAGCCACCGGGTCCGAGACTCGAACTGTGGTCGACTACATGGGAGTCCAGCGACATAGCCGTTATGCTAACTGCTGGTCCCCAGTATTTTAGCTTCTAAAAGACATTAATTTTCATTTGAAAAACACATTATCCTCCAAGTGCTAGTTCACCATTGATATCGAAAGCCAATGTTCTGACTTTTAACCTATTAGTGGCTTATTATTTATTTTCACCTTGGTTCATTGTTTACTTTCCTTCAACACTAAGTTCTGAAATATTACAGGATTTCGGCAGTAGTTTTGGATTCTTTTGAATTAATGGGACTTGTTCTTTTAGGTGGATTCTCCACAGTTTTCCTGGTGCGGACGCATGGTGGTGTCAGATGTGCATTGAAGCGAATGTATGTCAATAACATGCCAGACCTCAACATTTGTAAAAGGGAAATTACAATTATGGTAAGTGAGAATTTCTGTTTATGTATTTGGTGTATTTTCTTTTAGTTTTGTCCTGTGGTATTAATCAACTTTAGAAAAGCTTCTTATTGGTTTGGGTCCATTTAGGAGACTATTGATTAAACAGTTAAAAATAATTGTAAAATAAAAATTTTCATTGTTTTCTGTGGTTGCTTATTCTCAGTATTCTGGATGGCTTCTTGTTTGTCTTCCTACTCATTCTCCTTCCTTTTCTCCTCCTTTTCCATTATTTATCAAATGCTTGATAGATACATGTATGTATGTATGATGAGCCAGCCCATGGTGTGGTGGTTAAGGCTAGATTCCACATGTCTGACTGTGTGGTTTGAATTTCAGAGCCAGGGATTTGAAAAACACACTAGGTGTATGTGCATGCATGCCCAAAATCCCCAAAAGAGGGAGGAATGGAGGAGAAGGAATTGCAGTGTGACCATTCCCCATGGGTGGTGCTTGTTCTCTCTCCTTCTCTCATCTTGTCCCTCCCTCTCCCCATTGAGATCACATATCCTCTGGCAAAATTAAAAAAACAAAGCTATTTGATGGACATTTGGACTATTTCTGTCTTTTGTCTGTTGTCTGTAATGTTGCTATGAATATGAATGTGCATTTATTTGTTTTAGTACCTGATTTCAGTTCTTTTGGTTTACCTGAGAGTGGAATTGCTGTGTTATATGCTAATTCTGTGTTTAACTTTTTGAGGACCCTTTGAACTATTTTCTACAGCAGCTTGACCATTTTACATTCCCACCAATATTGTGTTTTTTTCCATGTTCTTGCTAACACTCGTTAATATCAGCCCTCCTTATCCAACTGCTAGGAGTTGAATGTCTTACTTTGTATTAACACTCTCTAACATGTACATTCTAGTCCCTCTAGTTGGAAGATAAGTGCATTTTACACAGTGTGACTTTTCCGAATTCTGCTTTTATTGTTCCCTGTTCCTAGCTAGATTAGAGATTAGTCTTTGAGACTTTACTCTTTTTTTTTTTTTTTTTTTTTTTTAAAGAAAGGTTTTTACCATAGGGCACTTGTGCTCCCTGGAGAGAGATGGAGAGAGGGACAGTGAGAAATCACCTCCCGGGGCAATGGCTATGCCACAGTCTCCTCTCCTCCATTCTCCTCCTGGGATTTTGGGCATGCACGTATGTGTGTCAGGTGTGATTTCAAGCTGCCAGGTCTAGGACTTGAGCCATGGTCAGCCATGTAGGAGTTCAGTGCCTCAACCACTATGCTACTGTAAGGCTGTTAGCGATTAAGGGTGAAAAGATTTACACCAAGATAATGGAATTTAGATTAAGTTCTCTAATTTGTGCTTAGATATCATATGATTGTGTTGTAATTATTCCTTTCAATAGAATGTTGTAATTTTTTTTAAAAGTTTATTTGTTTTGTTCAGGAGAGAGAGATGGGGAAAGACAAAGACAGATAGGCATCCTCATCAGGGTCTTCATGCTGTGCTCTATCCTCAGAGTCAACTGGCCTGGCTAATGAGAATGTGCGTGTGCCTGGTGTGCTTAGGGACTCCCTGGAATATGTACCAGTCTTCTCCATATAGGTCCAGCATGGGTGCCACTACTGCACCACTGCCTTCCCCAAATTTGCTTTTGATACGTATAAAATATAGTCGGCAATAGCATTCAAGTTACATGCTTTTTTTTTTTTTTTTTTGCTGTAGGGTGCATGCACTTGCCAGAGAAAGAGACAATCACACACACACACACACACACACACACACACACACTCTCAGAGGAAAACCGAGAAATCACCCTCTGGGGGATGGCCATGCTACAGTCTCTTCCTTTCCCCACTTTCCTCTTGGGATTTTGATCATATATGCACATGTGCCTGTTACGATTTTTCAAGCCACTGGATCTGGGGCTCAAATTGTGGAATCAGACTTGTGGGGTCCTGTGCTATTATCTCCATGCCACCTGCTGGCCCCAAATTCTATACTTTTAGACAATATATTTTATGGAGATGAACTCCTTAAGCATTGGTTTTCCAATTTTTAAAAAATAATTTCTGGAGAGTATATGTACGTATGCATGAGAGAGAGAGAGAGAGAGAGAGAGAGAGAGAGAGAGAGAGGGAGGGGGGGGGGGAGGAGGAGAGGGAGGGAGGGAGGGAGAAGGAGAGAGGGAGGGAGAGAGAGAGGGAGAGAGAGACTGAGACTATGAAGAGAGAGAGAAAGAGAGAAACTGAGACAGACTGAGGCTGAGACCGTGGTTCCTGGTCATGCTGCAGACCTTTTTCTTCTATTTCTTCTTGTGAGGATTTTGGGCAAGCATAAACCATGCCTGCATGTTTTTTAAGCCATTGGAGCTAGGATTTAAACCATGTCATGTGGGATCCTGCTCCCTATGCACAGTATTTTAACTGCCATGCTATAAGACCATCCTTAAGATATATATATATTTTTCCTTTTTTTTTTTTTTCCTTTATCCAGGTAGAGTATGTGCATGTATATGTGAAAGAGAGAGGAGCACCCTCCATAGGGTCTAGTCACAGTCCACTTTGTTAAGTCCTCTAGCCCATTGGATGTTGGGCATTTGTGTGTGTGCCTGGTGTGTTTCAGGTGGACTGCACTGGGGATTCGAACTGTGATCACCATGTGGAATCCAGCTTTCCTTGAGCAGTGCATTATTGCTGCTTCATGGAGCTGGCCAATTTTTTCTGATGACACATTATCCCCTTATGTATACTTACTCATAAATGTTCATTTAATCCATGGCCATTAGTCTTTATCTCAAGTTAAATTGTACAGTTAAAACTAGGTATATTGTTGATAATGGATGTACATATATTTTACATAGTATGAGGTTAGGGGTGGGAAGAAGAGAGACGTGTATCCTCGGCAGGGTGATCCTCCCACAGCCTTGCACCTAGCAGGATCATATCAATATGATTGGGCAGCCAACTCTGGAGCCTTTCTACATGGTCTCCAATATCACACAGCAGTGCCTCACTGCCCATGTCACTGTGACTGGGTCTTCAATGGCATTCTTTTTTTTTTTTTTTTTAAAGTTTATTTATTTTATTCATGATAGAGTGTGTATGCATGCAGGGGAGAGAGAGGGAGAAAGAGGAAGAGAGAGAGAGAGAGGCACCCAACAGTCTTATGCCACAATCCCCTTTTCCCAGCCCTCTAGGTCATCAGGATCTTGCACACACCTAGCATGTTTTCAAGCTGACTCAGGGGTCTAAATCCTCAGTTGGCCATGTGGCTTCCAGTGCTGTCTTTCAGTTTGCTACTGACTTCACCCTTAAATACATTTTTTTTTTTTTTGAGAGAGATTTTTGCTATAGGGTGTGTGTGCTCGCTGGAGATACAGAGAGAGACAGAAAGTGAGAAGTCACCTTCCGGGGTGATGGCCATGCCACAATCCCTGCTCCTCCATTCTCCTCTCAGGATTTTGGGCATGCACACACACACACCTGCCGTGAGTTTTAAGCCACCGGGTCTGGGACTCGAAATGTGGTTGACCATGTGAGAGCCAAGCAACATAATCATTATACCATCTGCTGGTCCACTTAAATACCATTCTTAATTATTGATTTTTGATTTTCAGATAGTCCTGAATAGATTTCTCTCTCTCTCTCTCTTTCTTGGGGGGGCGCGGGGGGAGGTTTTTGGTATAGGGCGCATGAGCTTGCCAGGAAGACAGAGAGAGACAGAGAGATAGAAAGCGAGAAATCACTCCCCGGGGGGATGGCCACACTGCAATCCCTTCTCCTCAATTCTCCTCTTGGGATCTTGGGCACACACGCACACACGCCTGGCATGAGTTTAAGCCACTGGGTGTGGGACTCAAACTGTGGTCGACTACATGGGAGTTCAGTGACATAGCCATTACGTTACTGCTGGTCCCTCTGTTTTTTTAATTTTTTTTCTAAAAAAAAAACCTCATTATATGCTGATGACTATCTTGTACTAGGAGTAAATGTTTCAAATTTGTCTTAGTTCCCTGTATTGAAATTATTAGTGTTACCTTTAATCTGTGTGTTTTTTCCCCCTAAAAAATTGTTTTAACCACTTATTAATTTTATAGGTATTTAGTTAAAAATGCGCACATCCAGGGGTTAGATAGTGGTATGGTGGTTGAGGCACTGGGCTCCCACATGGCTGACTGTGGTATAAGTCCTGAACCTGGCAGCTTGGTTTCTCCCTTTCTCTCTCTCTGGTGAATGTACATTTCCTATTGCAAATTAAAAATAATATAAAATTGAATAATTCTTTAAAAAAATACATGTATCCATACATCCACTTATTACCCACACATAAATTGTAGTATGTTGCAGGCAAAAAAATACAAGAGAATATAATTGTTAGATCATGAACAGAGATTAATTCCTCTATTTTTTAAGATAAAAATAAATGTAAGTAAAAGTTCTAACATTTTATTCTTGAGTCCCAGTGGACTGTTTTGTATACTTGCTTTTGGAGACTCTTTTTGAATAGACTATCTTATGCTTGAATTTAAGAATAAATATTCATTGAATATTTTGGTGTTAGAAAATGACAGTCACTTACATGTAAACTTTCTGTTGAAGCCTTGGTTGTTTGAAATATGTCCGATTCCATACTGGCACCTACTTCTTTTTGGAATTCTTTAAATACATTAATTTAAACTTCAAACAATTGCTAACAATGTAACTTTAAAATGTCCATTTTCGGACCAGTCCTGTGGTCTACTGATTGAGGGAGCTGGATCCCACATGCCTGACCACGGTTTGGGTCTTGGCCACTGCTGTTTGAAAACCACTCCAGGTGCTTGTACATGTGTACCCAAAGTCCCAATAGTATAGAGAGATAGAAGAAGATTACAACATGATCATGTCTCATGGAGGGGGGGTGCTTTTTCTCTCTTCCTCTCTTTGGCAAGCACACATACCCTCTGGTAATTAAAAATGTGTATTTTCTGGGGCCCAGCAGCTGGCATGGTGATTGAGGTGTTGGACTCCCACATGGCTGAGCACTGTTTGAGTCTTGGACCTAGCAGTTTGCTTTCTTACTTTCTCTCTCTCCCTCTCTCATCAAATTAAATAATAATAATAAATAAATAAAATTTAAAATGGTATATTTTCTGATTTTAAAATTCTATGTTTTTCAGAAAGAACTATCTGGTCATAAAAATATTGTGGGGTATTTGGACTGTGCTGTTAATTCAATTAGTGATAATGTCTGGGAAGTGCTTATCTTAATGGAATATTGTCGAGGTAAGTAAATACTGAATCTTTCTACATTTACATTGTACTAAAAAAAATTGCCATAAAAGTGGGTTATTAGGTGTTGCTTTTTCCCAGAGGAGCTTATTATCTTATTCTTGACCCTTATTATTGCCATCTAAGCTTTAATTATCTTATTAGGAATACTGTTAAAAATTATTTAAAACTAGTTGTAGTTGTTGCAGTTATGTTTATGAAAATGGAGAAAAAGAAATATGCTATTGGGTTTAAAACAAGGAACTTAAAACATGTAAAAATTTACATTTCTTGGGTCTAGCAGACGGAAAAATGGTTATGTCATTGGACTCCCACATAGTCACCCACGATTCCAGTTCCAGACTTGGTGGCTTAAAACTCATGCCAGGCATGTATGCATGTGTGCCCCAAATCCTGAAAGAAGGGATTGAGGTGTAGCCATTTTCCCCAGGGTGATATCTTGCTTTCTCTCTCTCTGGAGAATGCATGCGCCTAATAAAAAAAAAAAATCTCTCCAAAAAAAAAAAAAAAAAAAGCTTACATTTCTTGCTCTCTGTACAATTATTTCATAATCTAACCAAGAGTAGCATAATGTGTCAAGGTTTAAGTTTTTTTTTTAGCACTCTACTATGTTATCATAAACATTAAATTTACCAAATTTAGAGGATGCAATTAATTTATAATCTTTATGATTAATTTAATTTAATATACATTATATCATCTTTTGTAAAGATCAAAAAGTGGAAAGCAGCATTTTATTTGAACCTAACCTAGGATTTTAAAGAAATACTTTCATATATGGGATGCAATAATAATAATATCCATAAAATAGTCCATGACATTTTTTATTTTAACATATAAGAGATGAGTAATGAAACTACTTTCTAAAATTTGCTTTTCTTTTTTTTTAATTAAAGGTTTTTGCCATAACGGTATGTGTGCTGGCCAGAGAGAGACAGAGAGAGATAAAGTGAGAAGTCCTTTCCCCGGGGGGGATGGCTACATCACAATTTCCTCTCGGGCATTCTCCTCCTGGGATTTCTTTTTTGCACACATGCATACACACCTGGTGAACCACTTGCTGTCAGCCATATGGGAGTTCAGTGCTTTAACTACTATACCACCTGCTGGTCCCTAAAACTTGCTTTTTATATTAGGCTATATCTAGCAGTTTGGGTCCTAGGGAGCTCTTGTTTATATTTAAATTGTCTCAGATAGTTATGATTATTAATTATGCAACCAGGAGCTCTTGTTTCCTGAAGGTCAGGTTTAAACATTTTAATAGTATATATAAAAATTTCATTTTTTCTTTCCTTAGAAATATCACTTGGTGAAACTTCCATATTCCTGATTAATTTTGAATAACATTTAGCTCTAATTCTGGGAATTCTCTATGTTCCTTCCATCTTTGATTCCTTGCTTCTCATACTTCCCTCTTATTTTTACTCATTTAAAAGAGTACGGTTTTCAGTAGCTTTTTGGAGAATGCCTTTATGGGAGGAAACTTTGCATATATAAAATAAACTTTCTGCTAATGGCATTATGGGAACAAATCTTGCATAAATAAAAAGAAATCTTTATTCTACACTCATATTCGGTTGCTAATTTAACCGCCTAAAAGATTTTAGTTAAGAAATAATTTTGACTGAGATTTTTGAAGGCATTTTTTTTTTCTAGTATTGTTTTTGAGAAGTCTGACACTATTGTGATTCCTTAATTTAAAGCAATTTTTTCATGATGGAGTGCCATGTGTGTATAAATGAGAGACAGACAGACAGACAGACAGAGGAGCACCTGTTACAGAGTCTAGTCACACCGCAGTCTCCTTTCTGAGTCCTCCAGCCCTTTGGATCTTGGGCATTTGTGGGTGCCAGACATATATCAGGCTCACCGTGTTGTGGATTCCAACAACGGTTGCCATGTGAATGAATTCTATCTTATGATTTATTTAGCTATAAAATAATACTGGTGAGTGAACACAAAAAATTATATCAGCCTTCTGTAGTTTAAGAATAGATGGTCTATTCTTAAAGGAGTCTAGCAAACAAGAGAGTGGAGGAAGTTGCTGCCTACTGAGGTGTTTCAATCTTGTGAGATTACCTGAATAAATTACACCTGTTTCCATCTTCTCTGAAAGATGGAATTTATAGGTAAAATGTAATGTTCCTTCTGTTTTAGAATTCTGAGAGAAAAACAAATATTAAAAAAAATACAAGAGGCTGCTATTTTAGGAATAACAATAATAAAAGGAATAAGTATGTATGTAGCTTCCTACAGATTGCAAAGTAGCCGACACTTATCTAACTTTATCAGAAGTTTCAAGTTGATGTAAGATTTACGCCCTTTTAAATTTCCAAACTTGATTTTTGTTAGAATACTTTTTGTTTGAATCATATTTGTGTGCGTTCTTAAAATATAATGTAGTTAGCTTTTTCTTAATAATCAATTATTATAGTATGTTATAATACATAATCATTCTCTCAAAACTCAGTGTTGTAAGACCATACTGGCTTTTAAAAGAGACCCATTTACCTTCTGTATTTATTCTGGCCCTTTTGCTGGTCAAATCGTGCCTGCCTACATTGAGGATGGATCTTTCACATGTAGTCTGCTCAGGCTCACATATAAATATCCTCCGGAAACATGCCCACAGATACACGCAGAATAAGGTTTTTATCAGGTTGTTAGGTATTCCTTAGTCTAGTCATGTTGACACCCCAAAATTCATTGTCATACTGACCTCTCTTTCTTTCTACTCTTTTGATATTCCTACCTCCTAATTGAGGTGATTAAAAAAAAAATCACACCAGTAAGTTTCCCTGGTTCTCAAGATAAAATCTTAACTATGGCTGATCTCTGACTGACTTGTCAGTCTCATTTCTGTCCTCGTTTCAGACCATATCGGCACTGGCTTTCTTGAAGTTGTTCAAAGGCATGAAGCTCTTTCCCAAACCAGAGATGTTTGTACTTAGTTCTCACTTTATCACTAGCATCTTCTCACAAATAGTTGTTACCACAAATATCAGTAATTCCTAATTACCTTTCAGTCTCAACATGAAACCATTCCTTAGGCCTGATCTGACACCCTCTGTTCCACAAACTCCTTCACAAATTAAATTTAGGTTTCCGTTCATAAATGCTCTCATTTTACTGTTATATATAATTATGATTATTAATTTGTGTGATTGTTTATCTCTATATTTTGAGTGTAAATTCCATGATAGTAGAAAACTTAATTTTTGTTCACAATTGTTTACCTAGTAAATAGCACAGAGTTGAATAACTATTTCTTTAAAGATAATAGGCCTTCAATTACAAGGTACACTGTGATTTCAGATATTAAAATCTTTCTTAAAAATGGTCAGTAGCATTAATAGGACATTATCTAATGATATTCTGATATCAGAGATGTAAAATTGTGAAAAACTGTGTGTCATTGAATCAGTACAATATGATAAGTGTCCTTCCCTGAAAATTATGCAAAAGCCAATTTCCCATTATTTTAGGCTTTCAAAAGTTTGTTTGTTTATTTATTTATTTATTTTGTTTGATAGGTTTCATTTATTAAAAATATGTCCTCTCATAATTACTTTTTTGGCTAGCTGGGCAGGTTGTGAATCAGATGAACAAGAAGCTGCAGACAGGTTTTACGGAACCAGAAGTGTTGCAGATATTCTGTGATACCTGTGAAGCAGTTGCAAGGTTGCATCAGTGTAAGACTCCAATAATTCACCGGGATTTGAAGGTAAATACCTTTAGAATACTTAGGGAATAAGTATTGTGTTTTAGATCTTGAAGTTTTAAGTTTTTGGACTGTCTTCATCTAAACAAATTTTTATTAGCAGGCATGAGATTGGTCTCTATTCCCTCCTGCACTTGGTCTCTATCCCCTCCTGCACTTCTTGAGGTCAAGTAAAGACCAACTGTGGATTTGATGTTGTGCTTTCCTTGACCCTGTAGCTTTCTAGCATGGTTGTAGAGGTGGATTTTGTGCCCTTTCCTGCATCTTTAGCTTACATGGTAGGCTTCTTTAAAAGCTTTCATTTGAACAAAATGTGAATGTCACTGACATAGATTGAGTGTCTTAACACACTGTTCTCTCAGTTAAACATTTGTCTGATTTCCTGTAGTCTGCATAGAGATGTGTTTGAGAGATACTGAAGAAGACCAAAAATGGGTCTCTTTTCTCATTTATTTATAATATACTACAGTTTTCTATAATTTCTATAATTTTCTATAATTTGGTGGTTATTATCTTTAAAGTCACTTCATCTTTTTTGTGGGCTCTTGGTCTCTTGTATTTGGTACCTATTTATTACATTGGAAAAAATCCCCAAAGGGGATTGAACATTCCTAGTATATTGCAAGAGAGTTTTCTGAGCACTTGGATTGCAAAAATCACTCTTCTTAAATACTTTCTCTCTGTAGTTACCCTTTTCTCTTCTGTTCAGATTTATCTAAGTTAGTCCTGCCTTGAGCCACCTATTCACCAATTTATAATGTAATTACAGTCTGTAACATTCCTACTCTCTACTTGTTCTACCTTTTATTAGCACTTGTCACTTTATAAGGTAATGTATATTTTGGAAAAAAAATGTTTTTTTTTTTTGTTTGTTTGTTTGTTTCTTTTTTTAGTGATATATCCAAGCATTTAGAGCAGTGCCTACCACATAGCAGGGTCTCAGGAAATAGTGAATGAGTGAGTGAATCCCAGTTCTGACAGATAATACAAAATTTTATGAAAGGTGATTATAAAATGCCCATAAGATAGAAGAGGCTAGAAGAAGCCACTTAGAGCATAGGTGTTAATCATGAAAGCATCACCGGGAAAGCTTGTGGTAATCAGAGCTTAGTCAAGGCAGGACTGAGTGCCTACCTGGACTTCTCTGTTCCTTACTTTGGGTAACGAGTAAGGCCCTCTCAGTGCTTTTGAAGATATTTTTCCCCTAATCATTTAGTATGATTTTTTTTTTGTGGGTGCTGTTATGGCTCCTTAACTTTTTGCATACAATTGATATTTACAGCTGAAGTCTTCTTGGTTTAAAATTCAGAGAAGATAATAAACATAATTTTGTCTAGTCCATATTTCATGTGCTCAGTTCTTTTTACATGTGTAAATTAACACATAGATTTTTTTTTTTTTTTTTTTGGAGAGGTTTTTGCTATAGGGCGTGTGCGCTCGCCAGACAAACAGAGAGACATAGAGACAGAAAGCGAGAAATCACTCCCAGGGGTGATGACCACGCCGCAATCCCTTCTCCATTCTCCTCTCGGGATCTTGGGCATGCATGCACACACGCCCAGTGTGCGTTTTAAGCCACCGGGTCCGGGACACAAACCGCAGTCCACTACGTGGGAGTCCAGCGACGTAGCCATTATGCTAACTGTTGGTCCCCAAACATAGATTTGTTTTAAGTGTGTTATCTCTGCAAATCTTTATAGTGTGCATATCTTTTTAAAAGTAGGCAAAATGAAAAATGGTAGAAAAATGATAAATTGTAACATATGAGTATTTTGATAGAATGAAAAAAATGAATTACTCACCCAAGATTATATTGTAAAAATAAAAGATATTGTGAAAAATGTAATAATTTATTGAGTGCTTACTGTATTTCAGACACTGTTTTAAGCATCTTACATATTTTAAGCTATTTAATTTTTACAGTAATCTTATGTAGTAGACACTGTCTTCCCCATTTTATAGATAAGTAAACTAAAATACAGAATGGTTAAGTGAATTGACTGAGGATATATATGCTAGTAAATAGCTGAGCAAGCTGTGAGCCTGCATTCTACTATTAAAGAAATTCTGTATATAATTTATTTTAATTACTGTAAGTCTAATCTCCAAGTAAAGTGTAAGGTCAAATTTGTGGGTTTTTTTGGAGCGGTTTCTGCTATAGGGCGCGTGTGCTTGCTAGAAAGAGACAGAGAGGCAGAAAGTGAGAAATCACCCCCCGGGGGATGGCCACGCCACAGTTCCTTCTCCTCCATTCTCCTCTCGGGATCTTGGGCACGCATACACACATGCCTGGCATGAGTTTAAGCCACCGGGTCCAGTACTCGAACCGCAGTCAACAACATGGGAGTTCAGCGACATAGCCATTATGCTAACTGCTGGTCCCCAAATTTGTGTTTTTAAGTATAGTATTTAAATAAAAAATTGTATTAGGTATTAATCAGAGATAGAATTTAAGTGGTTTTCATTATTACTGGTCTGTAGACAAGCTGAAGTATCAGAAAAGGAGAAAAATAGAGGACAGTAAAGGAGAGAAGCTGGACTCTGCATGTTACTAGCTCTTCACTTTGATAAACACAGTTTTAGAGAGGATTTAAGATTTTTTGGCTCCTGCAGAGATCATCATGGGGTGGGAAAAACACTTTTATGTTCTTGGTAAGAGAAGAAGTAGACACAGTAAGATGTATTTTTGCTCAGGTTTGTTTATCCTTTCTTATAATTTGAGGTACTTTATGTCTGTGTATACAGTGTGCAGTTACAGCAATGTTTATTATGTAAAAACATGGTTGTAGAAAGATAATTTTCACTTTGAACATACTACTAATGATTGATTTTCTTTTCTTAAGGTAGAAAATATTTTGTTGAATGATAGTGGAAGCTATGTGCTTTGTGACTTTGGCAGTGCCACAAATAAGTTTCTTAATCCTCAAAAAGATGGAGTTAATGTAGTAGAAGAAGAAATTAAAAAGTAAGTGTTTGTCTTGAGTATACTTCGTCTCATAGGAATTTAAACTGACTTGAATTGAGATCAGCTCTGCTAATATAAGTTTTAGATATTCCATTTATGGATGTCTTTAAAATGTTTCTGTGCCATACGTGTTTATTCATTTATGTCTGATCAAGCCCCATGGGAAATATTTTTTTACCATGGATGTAAGTTTTTCATTTTGATTGTAAGCAGGTTTATAAAGAAATTTGTTAAATAAGCTACAGTTGGGGGCAGATGGTAGTACAGCAGTAAAACATGTTACTGTGAGGCTGGCCCACATGGGAAGGTCCCAGATTGCATCCAGAGACCTCCCTAAGCACACTGGAGACAGGTATGCCAGTGATCTGAGACCAGTTGAAGCCAGAGGTGGATTGCGTGTCAGGACCCTGTTGAGGGTGTTGCCTCTCTCTGTCCCCAACCCTAATCTCTTTGGTCATGGAAGAAATAAACTTAAAATGGTAGTAGTTAGTGGAATCTTTAAAGGGAGTTTATGTTTTGCTTTTTAATTTTGCCTGAGAGCATATGCACTTGTAGAGAGAGCCAGAGAGAGAGGGAAAATGAGAAAATGCCTCCCATGGGACATGGTTATGCTTCAGTCCATTCTCCTCCACCTCTCCTTTTTGGGATTTTGGATATGCATGCACATGTGCCTGGTATGCTTTTCAAGCCATTGGGGCCGGGATTTGAACTGTGCAGTTGGCTATGTGGGATCTAGCCACCTGAACCACCGTAATATTGGCTGGCCCATAAAGGGAGTTTTAAGTTGATTACAAATTTAGTTAAATATTTTTCTTTTTTTATTAATACAGAGAACTTGTGTTTGTTAAGAAAAAAAAATATTGAAAACATCTAAGCTTTTACTTCATACTTAATATTAAGATTTACTCCTGAAGGCATTGAAAATGAGAAGACTAATGTTAAGACTGTATCAAGTCACCGTTACTTTGTAATGGCATGCTGGGAAGCTCTCTGTTGGAAATATGTCATGTCTGCTTCATGCTTTCTTAATCCTATACTTCCCATGGTTGCTAGAGTACCTGTGAAGGCCTTTACCTGACTTAGCTGTTTTTGAGTTTTAGAGAATGGAACAGGGCCCAGCTGTGGTGCCACAAGTGGAAGGGCACTTCTGTGTGGTAGCTGAGGCCACAAGGGAGGCCTGGATTCAGTTCCCAGCGTAAACAGACTGGGTGCAGTGGTGCATGTCTGTGATCTTCAGTAGCTGGGATGTTGGGGCAGGAGGATTGCCATGACATAGCAAGACCCTACCAAAAATACTCTTTTTCCTCTCACCCTCTCCTTCCCCCCCACACACACTCTAGTTTTAAAAAAGAAAAAAGAAAATGGAACCATTTGTAAATCTTAGATTGCCATAATAAAAATGATAGCAGATGTAGGAATATCTGTCAGAACAGGGATTTCTAAGTAGTTGCCTTTTCCGTTTTGTCTTTTGTCCTTTTCTCACAAATTCTCAGTTGTTTAAGACTAGTTAAGGGCTATCATTTGAACTAATATTTTGAAATAACTCTGATCTGACATTATTCTGGCTCATTTGTATAGTGCTGTAAATTTCTAGACTATATACTTCTACTCAAGAAACAATGCCTATGATGATTATGTTAGATTCCATAGAAACAAACACCCTACGAAACTTATAAATGTCCTGAAGAACATAAGATTAATGAAGTATTGAATAGCTCCTTGGAGATAAATGTATATACGTGTAATTAAAAAAAAGTATTGGATTGTTATTGTTTTGACTACTATGTGAGTCTACTCGGGTATCTCTGACCTGCTCGATGTTTTATTTCTTGTGGCCACATTGTGAGCTGTAGTTAAGGTTCTGTTGAGTTTTGTGTTAGTGATGAATAAAAGCTCATGAGGTGTTCTTGTGCTTTGTGACTCAGCTGATAAGTTAGTGGGTTAACCATTGAATTAACAAGTATTTATTCAAGGTCAACACAGTCTATTTTTAAAAGTTAACTTATTTGTTTTGTTATACGTACACACACACATATACACACATGTATGTATAATATGTATGTATGTATGTATGTAGGAAGAGAGTAGGAAAGGTACTTTGACAGGGTCTTGTCATGGCATGACCCTCCCACCCCAGCCTTCCCACAAGCCAGCATGATAGGCATGCCTGGCACGTTCAGATTGTTCTGGAATCTGAGCCCGGGCCTCCCATGTGGCTCAGCATTGTACAGCAGCACCCTACTTATTGCTCCACTACTTATGGCTGATCCCTACAGGGATGTTGGTGCTAGTGGATGGTAGTGAACAGAAAGTTTTGCCCTTACACAGTTTATATTTTGGTGTCTTAGGCCATTCTTCTGAAGTAGTATCATCCAGACTGTTTCACCAATAAGAATAATGTGAAAAAAGTAAGATGGTAGGATGTTGAGTGTTAAGATACTCTTCTAAAGTGTATCCTAACAGAATAACTGTTTAACTATGCCATGATGTATAATAGGAAGTCCATCCATATTGTGATAAGAGAGATTTGGGTACTACTTCGTTAAAAATGTACTTATAATGGATTTGATATTTTTATACTGGCAGATATTTAGTCACAGTACCTTTTAATTCCAAATATCATATGATAGCAGTATACTTAATGGGACTAATTAGAATTATGGCCACTAGTTTTTTTTTTTTTTTTTTTTTTTTTTTTTTAGGTCTTTGCCATAGGGTGCCTGTGTTCACTGGAGAGAGACAGAGACAGAGGGAAAATGAGAAATCATCTCCCAGGGAGTGATGGACACACTAGTGTCCCTTCTCCTTCAGTCTCCTGGGATTTTTTGGGCATGCATGTCCATGCGCCTGGTATGATTTTCAAACCACCAAGTCCAGAACTTGAACCACGGTCGGCCATGTGGAGGTCTAGCACCTTAACCAATGTACCACCTGTTGGCTTTCTTAGATTATTTTTAAAACAGTAATTATTAGAACAAGCTCAAATGAGATTTATTATTATGTGCATTGAAGTATGCTAGCGTTCTTAAAACCAAACTCCTTAGTAAACATAAATTTTTGAGAAGAGAATAGTTTTACTTTTAATAGACGAAAATATTTTGATACAGAGACTATTATAGCGGAATTGTATTACTTCACATAAGACATTTAAGAAAACTATTTCCAATACATTGCCATTATTTAAGATTTTTACAATAAAGAAAGAAAATTAAGCTTTTGTGTCATTAGCGATGTTCTTATACTTGTTGACTAGAGATGCTTTGTACTGTTTAATTTTGATGGATTTTAATGAGCTTTTAAAATAGTATTATTTCTATATAATGTTATTGAACCTAAGACTTTGTTGTAGTGTTTTGTGTAGAAACAATGTATTATTTGTCTTTTTAAAATATCTCCACTTCATTTCACGCATTTATTGTCAGATATACAACTCTGTCATACAGAGCTCCTGAAATGATCAACCTTTATGGAGGGAAACCCATCACCACCAAGGCTGATATCTGGGTAAGGCCAATAAAAGCTGAAATTTTCTCTAATTGAATAAAAAAGTTTGAGTCCAATGAACTATTTGTCCCTTTATTCCCAAAAGGCATTTCCTAATAAGTAAACAAGTATGATATACAATAAAAGCTTCGTATTTGAGAGAAGTACTAGAACTTTTTATCTTTTCAGTCCCAAGATGGAAAATTTATGTAATCAAAAGGCAAATAAAGAATTATATAATGTAATTTATACAACAGTATTTTTTTAGAATTTAGATTACATATCAGTGTCAACATTTTTTTCCTGAATGAGTAGAATTTTGGCTGATACAATAATTTGGAGAGTAATAACTCTTAAGTAATTACATGATAATTTTTTGGAGCATTTTATGATTTTTTAATGGAAACACATGTGAGGAAGTTCTTATCTAATTATAAACATAACACTGACCTCTGTGTATAGAGCTTCTTTATCATTTAGCATTCATATCTGGATTCAATGATTGAGACAGATTGTTTCTTTATAGTTGAACTTAATGTCATTGTTGCTTTAGAACTTATTTCATAAGTAAAATATGTTTTTGGTTGTATTTAATAAACTACCAGAAAACTTGTAAATTTGCATTGTTTTTAATTCACTAGGTATTTAGCCTTATCTGCTACTAGTGACTACATTAGGGACAGAGGAATAGAATTTTTTGGAAATAGTTCTAGGGTTTACAGAAAAAGACCGATTTATTTTGTTTTAAAAACATGTTTAGAAAGCAGTCAAGTATAATGTGTGAAGCGAAATTAATATCTCGGGGATTTTCCCCTGCTGGCCTCTGTCCTATTGAGGCAACCAAACAAAATCTTGAGAGACAAGCATTCTTGCAAGCTAATAATAAAATAATTTCTTTGTTAGCATTTTATCTGTCTATATAACATAAGCATTTTCACCATAGTGATTCCCGTGATAGTTGATTTTCAACATACACATGATTAAATCTAATTATAAGTAGGTTTGATTTAATTAGCTCAATCTCCTCATAGCTCACCCACTTTTACAACTCCTTTTTTTTTGAGAGAGATTTTTTTCTGTAGGATGTGTGTGCTCCCCAGAGATACAGAGATAGATGGAGAGACAGAAAGTGAGAAATCATCCCTTGGGAGGATGGCCATGCCATAATCCTTTCTTCTCTATTCTCCTTTCTGAATTTTGGGCATGCATGCACTCACACCCGGCATGAGTTTTAAGCCCCCAATTCCTGGACTCAAACCGCGGTCAACTATGTGGGGGTTAAGCCATTTAACTGTTATGCCATTTGCTGGTCCTCCCTTCTCTATAACTTAAAATTGATTTTGCTCTCCTCAGCATTAGCATTTAACTCATGGCATATAGTAAAGGCAAGGGTTATGTGCAATGTAGAAAGCAGATTGAATTGGATCTTAATTTATAAATTGAGGGTATTAGAAGAGATGAAGTCTGGAGGTATTTTCTGGGCTAATTTTGTGACTGCTGTTGAATTCCATATTACCTGGAAACAGTTTTTCAGCAGCTGAGAAACAAGCATTCTAGCTTACCTACTGGTTTGAAAACTCAAGGGTTAATTAAAAATAAAAAGTTCTCTAAACACATGATTGCTATCCAATATCTTAACACAAAAGAGGTAATCTTTTTTTTTTCTTTTTTAAGTTTTTAATTTTTTAAAATCAAGTTATTCATGTGCATAAGGCAGAATACTAAGTTATCTGTGATACTTTTAAAAAAGTATACCATTTATAGATTTAAATGTATTTCTGTGATCTGTAATCTTTTGTAAGATTACAAAAAGATACTCAAAGATGAAAAAAGAAATAAGAAAATTAGAAAAGAGTATCAAAATGAATTTGGATTTCCATGATGCCATTTTTGGGCTCGTCCCACTTAGCTCAGGTGAACAACGTGTGCTGTAACATTTTAGGTGTGAGTTCCAGAATAGGCAAGGCAATACTGAATTCAAATTGGTTAAGGACTTATTTTTTGATTCTGCTCTAGGCTAGTACTGTTCTAGGGAGTTACGATATGGAGGTTAAAGTATTCATTTAGTATTTCATGGTTTAGATTTTTTTTCCCCCACTCAGAAGGGTCCATTGTAGGTTATTTTTTTTCCCTGAGATCTAGGATGTTGATTTTATTAAACATTAGAAAAAATAATGAGATGCTTCATGTTACTTCCTAATGAGGACACCTGAAGATGGTGATACCCACTCTTTAAAATCAGGTCATTTGCTCCTTCCTCTGCATTGAACAATTCTCTTACAACTAAGGGATAAAGAGAGAAATGCCTTTGGTGTGAAAAAAATAGGGTACCTCATTGTGTTCATAGTGTGTGAAACAGAGTATTTAGATTTATGTTTTTATGGATATTGCAGTGCTCAATTTGTTATCTGGGAATATCTACTGCATTTACTTTAACATAAGACAAATTTCTAAGAGTTTAACAAGATAAAACTGGCTGAAATGGGCTTCTCTTTTGCCTAGACTATCATCTAAGTAGTGGAAAGAAAGATGCAATTTAATGTGGCTATTACATCATTAATAGTATATTTTTAGTGCTGTTAAGAGTCTTATATTCAAATTGCTCTGTACATGCTGAAAATATTTAATTGAAAAGAGCATCATAAATCTTTCTTAACTGTATTGAACTGGTTATTTCTATTTAGAATCTTTCTAGTGATTTTAGTTTTATAATAACCCAGTAATGTTTTTATACCAATGTACTAAAATTTCTAGAGCTTTTAACTGGAAAATGTTATAATATTAAAAATATTAATATTATTGAACTCACAACGGCGTTTTTGTGTATTATCATGGTCTTTGTAGTAGTAATGAGAGTTAGTGTTCTTATTAGTTGGCTGTGTTTGTTAAGTTTATGTGTGGAGAAAAATCTAACCAGAGAAAGCTAATTTACTAATTTTTTTGATAGTAAGACCAAATTTAAATATTACTGATGTAATTGCATCTCAGCTACTAGATAACCTTACTGGATAACCTACTGGATAACACTATCTGTTTAGAATTGAAAATGCCACATATAATTTCAAGGCTTGTAGGTGACACTGAGAAAGTAATGCTGTTTTGAGATGGCAATTACATTTTTTTTTTAAACTGCTTTTTGAGTTTCAGTGTTAGAGGCTTAGCTAGAAATTTCCTGAGCTGCTCTTCTAAATGAAGTTTGTGTCTTAAGGTGTTTTACCTCCCTATCAGCAAGTACATTTATTGATTTTTATTTTATTTATTTATTTATATATATTTTTTTACTTTCTTTTTTTGGGGGAGAGTGTTTTTGCTATAGGGCGTGTGCGCTCGCCAGAGAGACAGAGAGACAGAAAGCGAGAAATCACCCCCCAGGGGGAATGACCATGCCGCAATCTCTTCTCCTCCATTCTCTTCTGGGGATCTTGGGCACGCACGTACACACATCCGGCGTGAGTTTAAGCCACCGGGTCTGGGACTCGAACTGCAGTCGACTACATGGGAGTCCAACGACATAGCCATTACGCTAACTGCTGGTCCCCATTTATTGATGTTTTGATGTTTATGAAGTCATACAAGGACAGCTCCTTCCTTTTTGATTTTAAATATATATCACACTGGTACTAAATATATAATAAAAATTACAGGGTTATATTCAGAAATAGAGAGCTAATTTTTACAATATGGAATAATGACATATGGTTAGTAATCATAATCAATAACTATGATTAGCTGATAAATTTAGCTATGCTAACTTAGGTTTGGAATCTCAGCATTTTAAAACATGTTTTATAGTGAATTTTTAAAATTGTTGTTTGAAGGAGCCTTGTACTTTGTTGGCTATATGCTAATTATGTAATAAATACATATTTTTCTTGTGGAAAAAATAAGACATCTTTATTTTTTCTCAAAAGGAATCAGACACTTTTTTTTTTTGAAGAGGTTTTTGCTATAGGGCACCTGTGCTCACCAGACAGAGAGAGACCAAGAGACAGAAAGCGAGAAATCACCCTCCAGGGGGGATGGCCATGCCACAATCCCTCCTCCTCCATTCTCCTCTCGGGATCTTGGGCACGCACGCACATGTGCCTGGCATGGTTTTTAAGCCATGGGGTCTGGGACGTGAACCGCAGTCGACTACATGGGAGTCCAGCGACATAAGCATTACACTAACTGTTAGTCCTGGAATCAACCACTTTTAATTTTTGTTTTATCATTCATGATCTAGAGTGTTACACTACCAGTAATTCATTCAGCCAAGTAGTCATAGATATGATAGAAAAACTCAGAAATGCTATGGTTAAATTTCTTTTTAAAAATTAACATGCTTATTTGCTTAAGGAATCATTTGAGAAATTATCCATTCAGTATAGAAACATTAGGGTTTTTTTTTTTTTCATAACATACTTTGTTTCTGGTTTGGGGCTATTTTTATGTCTTGTGGTTAGGTTGATTACTTGTATTCTGATGATAATCATACTTTTTGTTTTTCAGGCACTGGGATGTTTACTCTATAAACTTTGTTTTTTTACTCTTCCTTTTGGTGAGAGTCAGGTTGCTATCTGTGATGGCAGTTTCACCATCCCAGACAACTCTCGTTACTCCCACAACATACATTGCTTAATAAGTAAGTACTGGTGAAAATATATGCAAGAATTATGAGACACTGAACTTAGGGCCTGCTATTTATATCCCTTTGCTTAACCTTAATCATTTTATAATTTTGTGAAACTGTAGTAAAGAAAAAATATTTAATATGTGGGTATTTTTAAGCCCCTAGATAAAATATGGTAGCATTCAGTAGGGGTTATATAACACAGGGAACCAAAATTTCTTGGTAAATCATAGCACACCAAACTTTCTTTATTTGTACTTTGGGAATTAAATATCCAGATCCATTGATTCTTTGGATCAAAATTTTGCTAATCTTATGCTGCAGCCTATTTTGCCCACGCTATTTACTATCCATACTGTATTATGAAATAGTTAATATAAAGCAGCCAAGGTGTAATGTCAGGGGCAGGTAGGTAGTCCAGTAGGCCCTCACATGCTTCAGTTTTCCTTCCAGACTTCTTTAAGAATTCTTTTCTTTCATTTTGGTTGATATTGTAATTTAACATTTTATAAATGTACATGATAAAATTTATTAAAAAGATGATTTGAGGGGAGGGAGATGACACCAGATATTAAAATATATTAGCGAGCTACAATATTTAAATAGCACTTCTCTATTTAAAATAAAGTGTATCTGGGAACCAGCAGTTGGCGTAATGGCTATGTCGCTGGACTCCCACGTAGTCGACCGCGGTTCGTGTCCCGGACCTGGTGGCTTAAAACTCATGCCGGGCGCGTGTGCGTGCGTGCCCAACTAAAATTTCTAGAGCTTTTAACTGGAAAATGTTATAATATTAAAAATATTAATATTATTGAACTCACAACGGCGTTTTTGTGTATTATCATGGTCTTTGTAGTAGTAATGAGAGTTAGTGTTCTTATTAGTTGGCTGTGTTTGTTAAGTTTATGTGTGGAGAAAAATCTAACCAGAGAAAGCTAATTTACTAATTTTTTTGATAGTAAGACCAAATTTAAATATTACTGATGTAATTGCATCTCAGCTACTAGATAACCTTACTGGATAACCTACTGGATAACACTATCTGTTTAGAATTGAAAATGCCACATATAATTTCAAGGCTTGTAGGTGACACTGAGAAAGTAATGCTGTTTTGAGATGGCAATTACATTTTTTTTTTAAACTGCTTTTTGAGTTTCAGTGTTAGAGGCTTAGCTAGAAATTTCCTGAGCTGCTCTTCTAAATGAAGTTTGTGTCTTAAGGTGTTTTACCTCCCTATCAGCAAGTACATTTATTGATTTTTATTTTATTTATTTATTTATATATATTTTTTTACTTTCTTTTTTTGGGGGAGAGTGTTTTTGCTATAGGGCGTGTGCGCTCGCCAGAGAGACAGAGAGACAGAAAGCGAGAAATCACCCCCCAGGGGGAATGACCATGCCGCAATCTCTTCTCCTCCATTCTCTTCTGGGGATCTTGGGCACGCACGTACACACATCCGGCGTGAGTTTAAGCCACCGGGTCTGGGACTCGAACTGCAGTCGACTACATGGGAGTCCAACGACATAGCCATTACGCTAACTGCTGGTCCCCATTTATTGATGTTTTGATGTTTATGAAGTCATACAAGGACAGCTCCTTCCTTTTTGATTTTAAATATATATCACACTGGTACTAAATATATAATAAAAATTACAGGGTTATATTCAGAAATAGAGAGCTAATTTTTACAATATGGAATAATGACATATGGTTAGTAATCATAATCAATAACTATGATTAGCTGATAAATTTAGCTATGCTAACTTAGGTTTGGAATCTCAGCATTTTAAAACATGTTTTATAGTGAATTTTTAAAATTGTTGTTTGAAGGAGCCTTGTACTTTGTTGGCTATATGCTAATTATGTAATAAATACATATTTTTCTTGTGGAAAAAATAAGACATCTTTATTTTTTCTCAAAAGGAATCAGACACTTTTTTTTTTTGAAGAGGTTTTTGCTATAGGGCACCTGTGCTCACCAGACAGAGAGAGACCAAGAGACAGAAAGCGAGAAATCACCCTCCAGGGGGGATGGCCATGCCACAATCCCTCCTCCTCCATTCTCCTCTCGGGATCTTGGGCACGCACGCACATGTGCCTGGCATGGTTTTTAAGCCATGGGGTCTGGGACGTGAACCGCAGTCGACTACATGGGAGTCCAGCGACATAAGCATTACACTAACTGTTAGTCCTGGAATCAACCACTTTTAATTTTTGTTTTATCATTCATGATCTAGAGTGTTACACTACCAGTAATTCATTCAGCCAAGTAGTCATAGATATGATAGAAAAACTCAGAAATGCTATGGTTAAATTTCTTTTTAAAAATTAACATGCTTATTTGCTTAAGGAATCATTTGAGAAATTATCCATTCAGTATAGAAACATTAGGGTTTTTTTTTTTTTCATAACATACTTTGTTTCTGGTTTGGGGCTATTTTTATGTCTTGTGGTTAGGTTGATTACTTGTATTCTGATGATAATCATACTTTTTGTTTTTCAGGCACTGGGATGTTTACTCTATAAACTTTGTTTTTTTACTCTTCCTTTTGGTGAGAGTCAGGTTGCTATCTGTGATGGCAGTTTCACCATCCCAGACAACTCTCGTTACTCCCACAACATACATTGCTTAATAAGTAAGTACTGGTGAAAATATATGCAAGAATTATGAGACACTGAACTTAGGGCCTGCTATTTATATCCCTTTGCTTAACCTTAATCATTTTATAATTTTGTGAAACTGTAGTAAAGAAAAAATATTTAATATGTGGGTATTTTTAAGCCCCTAGATAAAATATGGTAGCATTCAGTAGGGGTTATATAACACAGGGAACCAAAATTTCTTGGTAAATCATAGCACACCAAACTTTCTTTATTTGTACTTTGGGAATTAAATATCCAGATCCATTGATTCTTTGGATCAAAATTTTGCTAATCTTATGCTGCAGCCTATTTTGCCCACGCTATTTACTATCCATACTGTATTATGAAATAGTTAATATAAAGCAGCCAAGGTGTAATGTCAGGGGCAGGTAGGTAGTCCAGTAGGCCCTCACATGCTTCAGTTTTCCTTCCAGACTTCTTTAAGAATTCTTTTCTTTCATTTTGGTTGATATTGTAATTTAACATTTTATAAATGTACATGATAAAATTTATTAAAAAGATGATTTGAGGGGAGGGAGATGACACCAGATATTAAAATATATTAGCGAGCTACAATATTTAAATAGCACTTCTCTATTTAAAATAAAGTGTATCTGGGAACCAGCAGTTGGCGTAATGGCTATGTCGCTGGACTCCCACGTAGTCGACCGCGGTTCGTGTCCCGGACCTGGTGGCTTAAAACTCATGCCGGGCGCGTGTGCGTGCGTGCCCAAGATCCCGAGAGGAGAATGGAGGAGAAGGGATTGCGGCGTGACCATCCCCCCTGGGGGGAGATTTCTTGCTTTCTGTCTCTATGTCTCTCTCTGTCTGTCTGGCGAGCGCACGCGCCCTACAGTGAAAATCTCTCTCAAAAAAAAAAAGTGTATCTGTGATAGCATTTCTACTCTGTTTTCTTCATTTTAAGCTCATCCTACTGTAGCCTCCAGCTTAGTGGAAAAGAAAAGAGGGTCAATTTAAATATATTTGGTGTTTTTTGATCACAATTATAGCAGTAGGAGAAAAAAGAGTGAACTAGAAAAAGTTTTTTAAGCACTTGTGGACAAAAATAAGACTGGATAACTGTGTGATTACTTACAGCAGAAATTTCAGGTAAATCAAAGATTTAAATGAAAAATAAAACAAATGTATTAAGAAAGTAGATGTGAATTTATAAAACTAGAATGTGGAATTTATATGCTAGGCTTTAAATCCCAGGAATTGTGAAAGAAAAGGTTAATCTATTGACATACAAATTTAAATTATTACACGTCCTCCCAAATTAAAGAATTTCAGCATAAAGTCAAATGGTAAATTGGAAATAATATGTGATACATATTTGACAGGTGGCTAACTTTTATCATTTAAGAGGCTTCTATAAATAAAAAGAAAAGGATAAATTCTCCAAAACAAGTTTAAAAGAAATGACCAGAAGAAAAAGGAGGATAAAAGAAAATCTAGTTTCACTTTGTAAACTTAACTATTTGAAGTACATCATAACGATTTGCTCAGTCATGATGTAGGAAAGTGGAGATTATGACAGTTTAACAAATACAGTACATTGTGTCCTGTGAAATGTTTTTCCTAGGTAAGGGGAAGCAAAATAATGAGGTAGGGAAGGTGATGGTAAATTTCAGGGTGAAGGAAATAGCCTAGGATTGACTGCTGCTATACTGCCAGCATGAATACTTCTAACTCTATTTTGAGAATATTGAGTATGAGTGCTTAAAGAAAACCTTACAGGTTTTCTTTCTAGAGAGATCTACTTCTCAATTTTTTGTGGCTATGGGCTTATATCCTTGGAGTTCCCCTTTTATCTTCATTGGTTAAGGACCTCCCAGCATTTTGTTTTTGTATATTTTTATTATTATTCATACAGTAAATCACTATACATCATTTAGATTGTGAAGAGACTTTACCCAGCATGTAATACACCTCAGTCCAGCCCAGTTGAGAACACCATACACATTCTCGTCAACAGATAATAAAATCTTATCTGTGTCCCACAAGTGTCTTACCTCTCCATTTCTCCCCCCAAATTTCCTACGCT